GTTGTCTCGCGCTAGTAGATTGTTGTCTCGCGCTAGTAGATTGTTGTCTCGCGCTAGTAGATTGTTGTCACATGCAGTAGAAGACTCAACAAATATAGCTACCAAAGATTTTTATATCAAACTCATTTCTTAACAAAGCCATAAAGTAGTAGATCTAACGAATTCAAACAATAAATTAAGTAATATATATTAATCATGTACATGTCCTTATAGAACACGGTAAAACTCGTACGTACATAATTATTTTTGCCGATTAACAGGTCCGCAATGTACGTATTAAATAACATTTTTCCCTTGAATTAAATTCTTAGATTTTCAGATTTCTAAATCTTTAACATAGCACCTGAACTCTAAACTACAAATTCACTTTTTGTATCATAATAAACATTTCATTTGATCGAATTAATGAAGACAGCTTAACAGCCTCGTTTAGGGAAGAGAGTTCTTCAGTTACGTTTTTCGACCTATTCCCCAACTTCGATTTTATATGATTTTAATATGTTATAGAGAAAGGTTTTCTGGTATGAAAACCGTTGAAAAACCTTCTGTTGCAATTAGTGATGGGTTGACCCATTTTATGTCATAGATTGAATGGACTATTTCACTCGTTCTCCTATACGCGCACCTATGTAATATCCTGTCTCAATTTTCCAAAATAACTAGCCCGACTTCACGCTCCAAGAGCATCTAGTTATTATTAATATTGACCTATTTCAAACAAAGACTTTATCGTGAAAATGAAATACCTATAGCTCAATGGCGGCAGCTGACCATTGTCGCAGCTACATGAAGCCCACGTAAGCGATCCATGATCGTCTACTTTTACATGGTCTGTTTGACACTGCCTCTTTGTTATTCGGGGGCTTTCGGGGTTACCCTTACGGGAGCATGTGAAGAACTGCTTCAACCGATAGTTAGACTGGTCAGCTAAGCAGGGAAAACGTAATAATACTTTTTTCTATCCAAATTTTGCATTAATAGGAGCAAGAAGCAATACGTTTTATAAAAATATTTTGCCTTTAACTCAAGCTTTAATCATGTTGAAGTCAACATGTATCAGTTATTCTTAGGTTGTCCAGTAGTGTTTTCTAAAACGTCCCATATCAGTTGCGACTCGGCATTCTTCACGTTTTCTTTGTCTAGAAGACGCCATTTCTAATACGATTTTGTATGACCATGCTAACGGGACTCAAGCAGCCAAAAAAGCTGTCTGTGACTTGCAGATGACAAATTTCAGAAGTAGGAATGTTGAGATATGAGTATTGAGTTCAAATTGAAACAAGACATACAGGTTTGTGTGTGTGTTTTAAATAAGCCATCTTTAGATAACTTTGTATACTGTTTAATCCAACATATATAGTTAAAAACGATGGAATTCAATATATTCAGCTAAAAATAGTCATGAATACACTGGAAAAAATGGCACACTTTAAAGGTTGTAAATTTGATGTAAATATGATGTAAGTGTCCAAAATTCTGTAAATTTAATGGAAATCATTTACATCAAATTTACAGAATTTTGGACACTTACATCATATTTACATCAAATTTACAACCTTTAAAGCGCGCGATTTTTTCCAGTGATATCTGCTTGAACACTGGTACTGCCGGCTTTATTATACGGTTGTGAAACATGGAAGATGAATAAGGAAGATGGTAAGTAGCTGGATGTCTTCCAACTTAAATGCTTGAAGAGAATTTTGAAGATAAGGTGGGAGACCAAATCAGTAATGAAGAAGTACGTAAAAGAGCAAACATACAACAACTGAATACAGAAGTCAAGAGAAGAAAGTGGAAGATGATAGGCCAAGTCTTGAGACAAGACCGAGAACGTCACAGTTACATAGCCATGRCCTGGGCACTTGAAGGGAAGAGGAAACGAGGAAGACCGAAAACAACTTAGACAAGAACTATAGAGAAGGAAAGAGGAGAGGCGGGGTGGAAGACGTGGGAAGAGGTGCGGACAAAGGCGGCTGACAGAGTGGAATGGAGAAACTCTATAAAGGCCCTATGTGCCACTAGGCACGAAGAGGAAGATTGATATCTGCTTGAGTTGGTCGAAGTGGACTTGATGCATCTATAAACACCGGTATTAGAATTGTCCCAGAAAGGATGCGCTTCTTTCCAATCACATACTACCAAATGTAACGTTACGATGCAGTTGTCAAGTTCTCTTGTTAAAGACAAGTGACGTCACGGTGTTGCCTGAATTTCCTCCGAAAGTGAAAGATGGTGTAGGAAGTTCATCGCGAAGAACAAAATCTACGACAATACCACATAAGAAACATTAGATAACTGGGGTCATTAACCAAATTGTACCATTTATCACTATTTAGATAGTACTAATATTTCACACTTTTAGTGTCTAAAAGACACTGAATTATTTTTTACTACTTTTGAAAATTTTGATGTCAAAGTATTTTATGGTTGCACTTTATTCATCTTTTGTGGACAAAAACCTTTTTCTAAATTGTCGCGAAATTCTACTCGGGTAACATCTGCCCTATGAAACGAGTTCCCTGTGCAGAGGAGTGTGGACAGTGCATTATGGACATTTAGGGATGTATACTCACACCTTAGGTGCCAAGTGAAGCATAATTTCTTTTGCAACGTACCTTTCTCAAACTGCTTTAAAAGCTCATCCTTGGACCAGTTACATGATGTAATCATAAAGACTCCTTTGTCTTCTAGCAGTGAAGATACAGACTGTATGTACGCCGCTCTACACTTGGTTCTGTCCTGTGGATTTAGACTGATTGCATCGTACGTTCCTTTATCAAAGCATACATCGAACTTCAGTCCTGACAGCTCACTATTGGCCAAGTCTAATATATCACACTCCTGGAGACGAAGCATTGGCATAAAAGGAAATGAATAGAGAAAAGAGATGCAAATCAGTAAAGGTTTTAAAATAGTCATCATTAGACTGACTTAAATAGAGGATAAGCGCCGAGATACGGAATTCATCTTCGAGTGTTGAAGAGATTTTCAACGACACGAGAAGATAAACTCCGTACCTCCAAGCAATCATGTAACATTCTGTTTATCATATAAATATATGAAAGCAAATTATGTCGAAAAATACATTGTTTTACTCCCACTATAAAGAAACGTCGAATGTGTTATTTCACTAGTAAAAATAACAACTTTTTTTACTAGTGAAAATAAAAACTTTTCGAAAGATAGCAATATAGTCGTTTCATAGATTATTATATGCTAAGCGTGATAAAACATCTTGCTTGCTAAATCAGTTTAGAGAGATACAAGAAATTACCGGAGAGTCCACTGAGTAATTAAAAATGTCCAAGTCTTTGTACAAGAAACCCTATGAATTATTCCATTTTCTAGTTCTTGGACTGGGAACTGTGACTACTACAGTTTTGAGATCTTATTTGCGCAGCCTTATACTCGACTTATATGTTCGTCAGAGAATCTATTGTAATGCAAACACTCTGTACTGTACAAAGAAGACAATAAAAATTTACGATTGATTGAAATTAAGCTTGCACAAAAGAGAAATTGAAACTGGAGTATTCACGTTTAATACTTCACAGTCCCACCTAGTCATAACTTGTACTTAAACAAAGTAACTTGCAACAAGCTTGTCAATAATAACACATTCAGCACTAACACAGAGTGAATTAGTGCTGCCTAGAGCATATGTATTCAAACTTAGGACAAGTTTTTTAATGTGGATATTATGATGTAAGCGCTACTTCAACCTAAAAGTTATTTATTTTTTGTCGAGCTTTCGACATATATGTATTAGTTGGGCGGCCTATGGTCATGCTGGGAAAAACAAGCTCGTCGGCTTTAGCGGAACATGCAAGMAAAACAGGYCATGSRATTAACTGGAAGGAAACATCCATCTTGTGCAAAGAAAGCCGTTGGTCGCAGAGGAGATGGAGTGAGGCAATAGAGATTGCAAAGAAGAAGAACGTTTTGTTTAATAGGGACARGGGGCGGATGATYCCGCAAAATTATMTCTGTGTWATTAGAAGTTAGTTACCGCGCGCGCTTATTAGATCTTATCAGAGCGCGCGCTCATTGTTTTTATGTTGTTTTGTAAAATGTAACGTTTTTCATTCCGTCTTGATAATGGCTCGGTGAGCCGAAAGCTCGACAAAAATAAATAACTTTTAGGTTGAAGTAGCGCTTACATCATAATGAATAGACCAACCTACAACCATTTATTTAATGTGGATATTAACTTAATAAAAGTATTAAACGTAAAGTAACTTCAAAATCTTAAATTTGGACAAAACTGGATTTCAATCTGTCTATCAAGCACTAACCATAAAATTAATGTTAAGGTTTTCTTTTTCAGCAATAGACTSAGCAAGCTTTATAGAGTCAGGAGAGTAGTCAACCCCAGTAAGATTGGTGTAGCCATTTTCTGCCTGAAGAAAATCAAATCAAAAGAGAAGCAAACTCAGTTTAGTTCTGTTCTATTTTTTACCAAACTACATGTAATTGATTCCAGGGATCATGGAGAAAGAGACTTTAGTGCATTGCATGTAGATGTCAGTTTGGTAAGTATAGTTTACAACAAGAGCAGTCATGTTGTATGGAAATTATATAGAACATGCTGAAATTCGCAAAAAGAACTTGTCATGCACATGGATTGATGCAAAAAAGGCATTCAATTCAATCAATCACCAATGGCTGGAACTTGCCTAAAGATGATGCACTGTATCCCCGACAAAATTTCTAAATTCATAACCTCAACAATGAGACGCTGGACAATCACACTTCAAGTACAAACATCAGAGGGCAAAGAAAACATAGGGCCTATCAAGCTAAACCAAGGAATTTTACAGGGGGACTCATTCTGCGTTAGACTATTCATTATCTGCCTGAACCCTATAGCTTGGTTCCTACGCAGCATGGAGGGATACAAGATGTCACAAAGCACAAGAGAAAAAATCACGCACTTGTTATATGTCGACGACCTTAAAACTTTCCACAAATCTCCAAGTAAAGCAATGATGATCACCAGAACAGTAAAGAACATGTTCGAAGATATAGGCCTATACTGGGGACTAGATAAATGTGCCTCCGTTAACATTCAACGAGGAAAGATCAGCCCCTCTTCCAATATTAACTTGAGTGCGACCGAGGAACTGAAGACGCTCTAATGCAATACCATATTTGGACAGCCAACTGTCTAATTAACGATCTGAAAGAACTCGACAGACAAACCAGAGAAGTAATACGTAAGACCGGAGCTATAAACATTGGTSAATCCGTAAAACTTTTGTACTTGCCAGAAAAACTTGGAGGAAGTGGTCTGAAATCAGTCGAGGACACTTATAAGCAAACAAAAATAAAGATGGCCAACTATGTAAACAACTRCCTTGACAAAAGGATGCAAGCCGTTAAGTTGCATGAAAAAGAAAAGATCACTAAACAAAGAAGATCACTGTTTAAGTACGCAATGAAATATGCAGAATGATTTAATCTCACCTGCCAGTTTAATGACACAGCCGGAACAATTATAACAGACCACCAAGACACAGAAACAACAATAGCAACGCCTAGTCCAAGCAGCCTAAAACAKCTCCTTAGAGATGCAACTCAAGTAAAACGCCTGAACGAAATGAAAGAACAATCATGCTTGCCGCATTTACCTCTAACCAACTTGAAGATAAGRACATGTCACCAGATGCCAACCAACTGTTCAGATCCTGGAAGAATATCCCAGACGTTGTTTACAGTGTCAACAAGAAAATTAGGCAACAACTCTTACCAACAAGAACCTACCAACAAAGCAAACTACAAAAGCAAGTCACAACAACAATATGCAGAATGTGCGAATCACAAATAGAATCYACATCGCACGTGCTAAGCGGATGCAGTAAGATCGCTCAAAGTTTGTATACAGCACGTCACGATAAAATGTTAAGACCTGTCTACCACTACCTACTACATAAATACAACTTCACAGAAAGCGACAACAGCAAGCCATGGTACCAGCAAAAACCTCCAACAGCTGTCATAGAGAATGAAAATGCCAAAATCTTATGGAACACCCC